TTACAACGGCCGTTAATAACGGTTGTTAACCGAAGCGTTTGTGCTAGTGTGCGGGGGTTGGGGCGGCACTGGTCTCGCGAGCCCCGAGGCGGCCCGTTTTGCTAGGAGAATTCAATCCCTACCAAGTTTCAGTTATTTCAGTTTGAGTAATTTAAACCTTCTGCCTCTTAGATCGGTGGTGTGTGGACGTGTAATGAAGCTGGAGCTTCAGCCTGGCTCTGTGAGGTGGCTGAAGGCCAGACTGGCTTCCTAGTTTGGCCCGAGCTGAATTAAATTTGTTATTGAAATAGGAAATCTCTCCTCATGCTGACCTTGAGCTGGGTGCTAGTTGACAAAAATATAGTAAGATGATTTATTGGGTAAAAATGCAACTACTCTTATCAGAGAAGGCTAGTTTTATATATATATGTATGTATATAAAATGAAGTTCACAAGCTGGCTTGGTTTATTCATTGCCAGTGCAAGGTAGGCAGCCCGCAGCTGTAGAACGGTAACTGCTTTACGTTGATCTAGTGCTGGTGTCCAGCCAGATGGAGGATCTGCCTGCTGCCACTTAAATGCTCTGTGAGCGGGGAAATAATCATTTCTATTTATTGCCTTTTTTAATTAAAAAAAAAAAAAAAAAAGATCTGAGCAAGTATTGGCACAAAAGTTCCTTGCATGAACTTGGAGCTGGGAGTGGAGAACAGCCCCCAGCTCCCTCCACGTTGGGGTATCTGCCCCCAGATCTGAAACCGCTTGCAGGGCTCAGCTCCAGTCTCTGTGTGAGAGAGGAGGCACTTTAGTCTTTACTGGTTTGGACTTGTTCTGTGGTTTTAAAGTCCTGACTGATCTTACTTTGGGGATCCCTTTAGTGTGGCCATTTAGAGGATTGTTCTTGGGAGCTTTATTTTTTTTTCCTAGTAAAATATTTTAATAAAAATGGAAATTGGGTGTTATATTGTGTTCAACGTTCCTCTTTGCAAGCAGCTATGAAACTGGCTTCGCCATCAGGCTTGCGGATTTACTTCATTTAATCACTGGAAGATTTGAGAGTCATTCAAAGCCTTAAATATCTTGTGCTATGGTGCTTTGGACTAACTGGACATTGGGATGTATTTAAGGATTTTTCTGAGCTAATTAGTTATTGCTGTGGACTGCGTGACTGTCTTTGCTCCAGTCATCATGAACTTGAGACAAATTCAGATGTTTCTGACACAGAGCAACTCGCTTTTACAAAGAAAAGTATGAACGGAAAATTTCCTTCATGCTACATCAAGGTGTGTTTCAGAAAATAATTATTTTGTATTGTGTAATAGTTGGGGTGGGTTTAAAGTAAAACCCTGTATGAAAGGAAAATATGTTTTTTCCCCACATATTTGGCTTCAGATTTGAAAAATTGTGACTGATTTGGTGGTAAAAAGCGACGTATTAGGTAATTTTATCCGAGCTGATAGTTCTCAGATCCGCTTTTGTCATCATCCAGCTAATTGCGTTTATCTGCAGCCATGCTTATTGGTGTGAGTGGTATGTGTTTTATTTGCCTGCACAGTCCCTGCAGCCTTAAATAATGTCATTAAGGCAATGTTCATGATGTAATGTCATCCAGCCCTCTCTGGGTGGCCGAGGTAGAATCTTAGTTTTCCCTGTAGGTGTCAGCATTATGCCACGTGTAAACAGCTTAAAATGCATCGGAGATTAACCACAGAGCATGAAATGCTTAGTTCAGTTTGTTGTGACACCTGAGTCTTCTTTAGAAACCTGACATGTCTTTTAATATTTTACATCCCATGGGCTCTATTTCTCAGGTGCTTTTTTATGTTTTTCCTAATTCAGATCTGGAGAAGTTCCTCTGGTTTCTTTAACTGGCCAAGCAGATTTTAAAGGATTTTGAAGTTGGCTTGCTGCCAAGAAACTGGGAAACAGTGTGTGATATGATAGGGTTACTTGAGGGTTGGATGAGAGGTGGATACTACTGAACTTGAGAGAAGAACCTTTTGGAGAATAAATTATCCCATTTGGTCTTACAAATTTTGCAGTACAGTGGGATCGTAGTAGTTCAAGACTTGCAAACTCAGATGATTCCCCCAACTCACTGAGGAAGCAGTGTCTGAACCTGATTTTTTTTGTGTGCGTGTAAATACGTGGCCTTTCAATTTAGTTTTTATTTTGACAAAAAGTCAAGCAGCACATTTTCCCAGCAGAAAAAAAAAAAAAGGCCTCCGTGTATTTAGGAATCATGCACTAGAGTGAGCGATCACCACCTTGCTGCAGTAGCCATCCCATTAATCCAGCCGGCAGTCCAGGAGCGCGTGATTCAGTAAGTGTGCAGTGGCGCCATGTATTGATATCCGGTAATGAGGCTCTAAGTAGAGGCAATTCAGCTTCATCTGTGCTAATAAACTAAGTGCATCCAGGAACTAAATGAATCCCAGGCCCTGTGGCCAACTGGCACAAAACAGCCCTTTTCCAGGCTTGTAAACTGCCTTGCCTTCCCGGACAGGACGGCTGGATGTGAGCTGCCTCTCGGGAGCTGTTCTTGGATGTTCTGCATGCTGAGCCATCCTGGGAATTATCTAGGAAAACGTGAATTGGCACAGCCCAGATTCATTCTAGGGAACTTTCTAAAAAATTATCCACAGGGATAATTATTTTCCATGGTTTGGGCATGTCTGAATTCACAGTATAGATGTGACTTTCCTGTAATAGAATAGATTTACAGGGTGGATTAAGGCAAGTGCTGTGTCTACCTGCTCCCTGCCGCTTGGACGTGTACCTCATTCCCCCAAATTCTGGTCTATAAGAATGCTAATGAACAGCAGTGTTCTGGACCCACTTCTTCATGCCAGTAGGTGCAAAAGGTACTCGGCACCTTGCAGGAAGTTTTAGGAGCTGTGTGTGTTACTGAAGATATTACAGTCAGGGGCCGATTTGTCAGGGCTCTGCCTCCTGAGCAGAACTGCAGTTTGGGTTTCTCTTCTATTTGCACTCAGTGTATTTGGAGTGCAGCCAAATCCAAGCAGGACTTGGTGGTCCTGCCATGGTTAGCCTGAACAAAGCACTATTGGAAGTTAGAATATGTAGGTAGAATATCATATTTATCTCACTCTTATTTTTCTTCACCCTGAGGAATTGGGGTGATCACAGTTACAAACTATAAAATAAGAGTGACTCTTTTGGCCTTAAAAGCTGAGGGAAGATCTGAAACATCTAGTGCCAGCAGAGCTAAGAATCTAAGAGAAATAGTGAGGGCAAAGATTTCCTTGTGCGAATCTTCAGAAATGCTTGGAGGTGGAGACTGCTGTGCTAATGGGGAATTAAAGGAAAAATACTGCAGAAGTGAAATCCCTAAGATTAAAATTCAGGTGCTGTCTTCCCACATAGCCGCAGAGGTGGTGATTTACCCCTGAGGACCAGCAGACAGGGTGCTGGGGTAAGACCCAGGGTGCTGCAAGAACAGCGTGGGTGAGAAGTGATTGACATGAGTTTCCTGATGTGTGCCGAGGCAAACCCAAAACGTTTCAAAGCCTCTTTGATGGACAGTGAAACCGTGCAAGATACATGTATTTGTGTGTCCTACTCCTCATGATGTCTGATTTCATGCAGGGACTGTCCCTAGCTCACACACAAACTGCCTGCCTGGTCTAGCACAGGTGGTTGTGGTCTGTGCATGTATGTGAGTGTCTTTCTACAACTTTATCATCATTGTTTTCTTCGTCTCTATTGACTGTAAATTGCAGTGATTCCTGATCAAAGTTTCTTGGAAAAGGAGGCATTTCCAGAAAACAGTCTGTTTTTTTCTAGATGTGCATTTTCTTCTGAAAAATCATTTTGCTGTGTTATTCTTGACTAGCATTATGTAGCTAGCCGGACTTTAGTCCAAACATTTCTGTCCCTGAGATTTTCTCGTTGAAAGTCAGAGATAAAAATATTGATCACAAAGTACCAGGGAGGACACCCATTACAGCTCTAGTGGTGTTATTAATGGCTGGTAGCTGCTCATTCTCAATATGTTTTTCTACAGTTCTGCTACATTTGCCCAGCCCTCCTCTCTCCAGTCTAGCCTACTGAGCTGTTTGTCTGAAGCCTTAATGAGCTTCCTGTATCTTTTCAAAATGTAAATTGTAGCCACTTCAGAAGGCATTAGTTAAGTAGTCTGTCACTGCAGCCCCAGTTTCATTTCATTTGTCCCTTCACTTGTTTCCATTAAAACCCATTTAATTACAAAGCTACCTTGTTCTCACAGGGCAGTCATCTCCATTTCAAATAAATGGGTAGCAAAGTCTGTGACTCAGCTGACAACACACGAGAAACAACCGAGAGCTCAATGGTCAGGCCCTCTGCACAGCGATGGGTATTATAAAGAGCTTGACATGTCCACCAGAAGGGAAAAGAAAACCCGAGCTGTCAGAATGTGATTTAGTTTTTGTGCGGCATAGGGGTAAAAAGAATAGAATGACAACCTGCCCTGCCCTTTGCTGTGTGTAACCCCACTGAATGGGATGCAGTTGCTGTAATGCAGCGATAGCACCATGAGCCTGTCTCCAGGGTCTGATTGGGAATTTGCAAATTTAATGTGATTGCTGCTTGAGATAAGACGTTAGCTGCAAATATATATATATATATATTCCTAGCCAAGTTACTTAAATCAGTTGCATTTAGCTGGATTGCAAACTCCAGTTAATTTCAATGTTGCTCACCATTTAACATCACAGTTTCAGCACTAGCAGGTTGAGTGTTTGCCTGAATTTCCCATACTGGCTGTGACATATGGAAAGCTACTTTTACTTGGTCTTGGCTAGAGGCTAAACTAGGGTTCTCCCAGTTAGGTCTCTCTCTCAGGCAAAACCTCCCCTTCTCTAAAAGCTTGTTTCTGCTTTCCTCACCATCCCTTCTACCTGTGCTGCTCCTCTGTCACCACGTGTTGA